ACCCATTTTTAATCCTTTAAGTGGCAATGCGCCCTACTACAATATTTTACTCTGTCTAATGCGAGACAATTTTACTTGTCAAGTGGAGAGTGCTGCCACTCAATGGGTTCAATTGCATTGCACCCTACTTTATCCCCAAGCCGACGGCGCAAAGCGCCGTGCGAGGGTACTAATTCCCCCCAGCTATTTACACCCGGGGAAATGAAAGCATTAGCGAAGTCTAAAGTTCATCAAATATCGCGGGCGTGGGTCACCAACCGTGGGTGGTCATCACTGAGCTATAATATTATAGTTATAGTAATCTCAAAAATATGGCGGACTGTCATGAATAGCAAACACTGTGATTGGTCCAATTTAAAGTTGGCATTATAACAGACTGCATGACAACAGCGAAATAACAAACATTTCTTTATTTGATGATTGATAAATTTCTTGCAAATATATTTCATTTTTGCTCGCATTTTTGCAAGATTTTGTAAATTTCAAGAAAGAAATGGCAAAAGAATCGGCTAAAAGAAGGGAGCCAAACGTTAACGAAGGTAAGTTTGTTTTAAATATTTATATAATTACTTTAAAACCCGACTTTATAATTGCTTTAAAACCCGACGGCCTTTGCGTATATGAAACAACTAAACTGACAGCATATCGTATTATCGGGCCCCATTTCAGTGTTTCTTTAATATTGATTCCCTTTTTTACTGTATTGATTTTTTTTAAATAAAAAAGAAAGCAAAGTTATTTGCATGCTAGAATTTGAAATCGTTTTATTGCAAACTCAAAGTTTATCGATAAAGCCATTTAATTAAAGAATAAAGGCAGTTTAGTTTTATAAGGGGGCTTCGGTGGCCAAGTGGTTAGCGCACTTGCCCTTCACCTCTGAGGCTGCAGGTTCGAATCTCACCAAGTACCTTCTCGGTGCGACTCAAACCCAGTCCCCATGTGAAAAGAGTAAAAGTCAACGCTCTGCCGAAAGCCGTGGGTTTTCCCCGGGTACTCCGGTTTCCTCCCACAGGGAAAGTTGACAGGGTGGGTTAGGTAAAAAAGGGCCCACAGTAATTGGCATATGCTGTTGTGGTGACCCCGCCCTAGTTGGCAAAGCTAAATAAATAAAAAATATAAAGAACACTTTAAAACGTTTTGCGAAGCGTTTGTGGTTGAATTTTACCTTAAATTGAAGCTTATATTACGTATAATATCATACCCAACATATATATGTTGGGAAATTGATAATTTTGTAATTAAAAGTGATATTTTTAAGCCATTTTTCATTTGTATTAAGAATATTCTTAAAAAATTATCATGTTACCATGGCAATTACTTTAGATACTTCATGTTCGGAAAATACAATGGTTTTGTCAGCAAGGCGAGGGTGTGTGCATGCATGTATTTTCTAGTATGTTAGTGTTACTTTGTCTAATTAGTACCGACAATTTTACTTGTCAACAAGAGAGCACTGGTGCTCAATGGGTTAACATATACACCCTTTCATAAATGGCTGCTGATTAAAAATTCTTTTATGTGCATATAAATTAACCCAACTAGCCTTGTTTCTGGGTAGAAATTCCTTTGAAATCTTAACATGAGTACAAGGCTAGTTGGGCCAATTTATATGCACATAAAATAATTTTTAATCGGCAGCCATTTATGAAAAGGGTGTATAAATAATGTATAACTACTCTACAGTAAATTTCCCTGTAATTGGATCCTGGTATATGTTACTCACTATTTCTTCAAAGTGTGTTCTGATGATACTAGCTGTCACTATTTTATAAATATAATTGACCTTTCTCATTTAGGGTGATCTGGTGATGCAAGTCATGTGGACAAGTTCTTTGGAATGTTCAAATAGCAAGAATAGTGGTGTAGTGGTGGCACTTGCCAGACCTACCATAACTGGAAAAACTAACAATGACTTTTCTCCAAAATGTTGTGGGCATATGTTATATGTACTACATGAAATGGCCCAAGGCATCAAAACTGGGAACAGCCAAAGAAATGAAAGAATAGCCCATGGAGCTACAGTTATAATAATACTCTATCACATGTAACTTGATTGTACAGGTATAATTATTAATTTGATAATCATTCTTTGACCAAGTTTAATTATAAAAATAATACAAACTTAATCAAGATTTTGAATCTTTAATTTACAAACATGTTGCTTGGTACTGAGTTTCATTAACAGTTAAACAACAGTGCCATGGACTCGTGCATTGTTGGAAAATTCTGCATCTCTATTGTTTTCACAATATTTTCATGACCAATTTTGTTGTTTTGACTTCATTTTGACCAAGTTAGTGTTATCTTCTCTAACCATTTAGAGAATCTTGTCTTGTTCAAGTGAGATCTTAAACTGAGCCAGTCAGGTTATCCATGCAAACTGAAAGGAATTTCCACTATAAAAATATTAAAATAACCACACAGTGAAGTTTCCGATCGCTTACTGCAATATGGCAGAACTAGAGACAATTAACTTAATATTTGAGGGATGTGGCAAACAAGTTAATGGCCTTTTAAAGATACATACAACAAACTATCAGAGAGCACATATTAAAACTACAATGTACAATCCTGAATATAAAACATGCCTTCTCACTTCTCAGATCAGCTGCCCCTACTATAGGCAGCTGAGCTTTGTCCTGCACCAGTCCACCACAAGCTCGTGCATAACAAAACCCTTGGCTAAATATATAAAACCTTAATTCCCTCTTTAATACACCAGCACATCATAGTTTCATCTCTTAGTTCATATACATGTACTGTGCAACTCGATATTGCGAGGGATGAAATTATTGCATAAAGTTAATACATTATCTACCACCACATAAACACTTGTGGCTTATTTTTGCTGCCATAGGCAGCACACTATTCTTGACAACTGATTTTGACGTTATGACTCGTGCCAGTTTCCTTGACCGAGTTATAACGATGCAGCTTGATTCAAAATATAGAAGAAATTTGGATTTCTGTCAGTCGGTAATTGCTCGTAAGTCGCCGTAAAGTTCTCGTTCTGTACTTTCCGCCAATGCCATGATGAAAAATTTAAAAAACGATAATTCTTCACAAATAAAAGACAATATTAATTTCGTTAGAAAATTATTTTTTGCAGGTACGTTTTAGCCAATTATTAGTATAAGGTGTTGACAATGTTTACTTATGAGTAATAAGTTTTATATTGAACATTTAAATATCATGACAGAATGATGCAGGCATGTTCAATGTTGGCAAATGTTGTTATGATTTACGAAGAAAACGTGAAAATGATTGAAGACTTGATATTAAGGCTCTGCTCACAGGCACAGGGTATATAACTATTAACTCAACCACGAAGGAAAACATTGAAATGACATATAATGTTGTATAGTGTCGTATAGTCTTGTATAACGTTGTATAGTGTTGTTTAGTCTCTATAGTCTTGTATAATAGTGGTCTATAGTGTAGTATAGTGTTATATAGTCTTGCATAGTGTCATATAGTCTTGTATAACGTTGTATAGTGTTGTATAGCTTTATATATTGTTGTATAGTCTTGTATAACATTGTATAGTGTCGCATAGCCTTATATATAATGTTGTATAGTTTTGTTTAACGTTGTATAGTGTTGTATATAGCCTTGTGTATTATTGTGTAGTGTCGTATAGTCTTATACAATGTAGTATAGTCTTGTATAATTAACATTGTATAGTTAACAATTAGACAACTCGGCCGAGTTGTCTATGAGCGAATAGAATAGAATATTTGCTCATAGACAACAAGGCCAAGTTGTCTAATTGTTTTAGTATAAACTTTAACATTAATTTACAACTAGGCTGCAAACACAATACAAAAACACAAAAAAACATTATAAAACCATTAAAGGTAAACAAATATTTTAGTTTTTGTTCGCGTAAAATGTTTTACAAAATTCAGTTTTAATTTTAAAATTTCATTGAGTGTATGTTATTTTCTCTATTTTTTTACCCTTAAGAATTGCCATTCCATATTTTTGTTGCTTTTTTCGTGTTTTTTTAGTACGGAATTGTTCAACAAGTCGTCCAAAAAATCATCAGACACTTCAGCAAAAGTGCAAAACGCGAATTTTCCGCCATTTTGAATTTTCTATTAGTAGGCTATCACTAATAGCCTACTAGTAGCGTAGCCAATCAGAAGGCACGATATGTGATAGCCTACTAGTAGGTTTATACTAAGGGGCGGACCATTAGAAAATGGGGGACGGGGGGTGGCAATTTTTTCGGGCAGGATATTTTTTTTTGCAACAACGTTGTGCAAGATTTTTTTTTTCAGCCATGCTTGTGTTGCACGATTTTTTTTTAAAGGAATGTGAACTATAATTTATTAATATTATACAGCCCTATTTATATTACCATTATATATATTGTTTACTGAATATATAATTACATTACATACACACAATACGAGATATAGACGTTTATTAAACTGATAAATACAGACAATGTGATAGAAGAAACCCTTCCGGAGTGGCTGGCTGGCCTTGGCATCTGGCAAGATAGTTTCGCTCCCACAACCCGTCGTAATAAAACCAAGTGCCGTTTACTTGAAATGCACCACGGTAATGGCCACTAGGCTTCCAAAATGTTAGTCCGCAAAGAATGTACCTAGATATTAATAAAAAATACATGAAAAACTGCCGCATATAGTTGGTATTTTATAATAAGTCAAGATGAAAAAAGGCTTTTTGTACCTCCGTTGAATGAATTGAAGTTCACCAGGCAGCTGCGACATGCTATGAATTATACCTTTGCGGGAAAAGAGATCCAAGGAAATGAATAGAAAAGGGGGAGCACCCCGTGGAAATTCTCGTCGTGAGTTCTGCCTTTTACCGTTGCAGTACGCTTGCGGTTTCTGGCTGTAAAAGATATATATTATTAACAGTACAAAACATGTAATATTAGGACCTGTTCATAATAGTATATAAAGCTCACATATAGTTTTATATTAATATCTTATTAATAACACCGGATGCATATCGCATGCACTTACATTACATGTCCTGTTGAATGATTGAATTGTGTGGTTAAGCTCCAGTACACATCAGCATTCGGCGGTGTAAGACTGGGTAACAATCGGCCGCATGTCGTTTTGATTTTTTCCGTTTCTAGCCATTCTTTCAGGGCTGTCTGTATAACTGTGTGTGCTGGGAGGGCTGCGGCAACGCTATAAGAGAATTTGACTTTATTCTAACAAAAAAGTTTTTCATATACACTTTATAGTTTTGAAGGTATTACCTTCATGGAAAAATACATGAAATATTCAGAATATACTTGTATGTTCTTTATTACCTCAAGCAGATCCCTGTGGAGTTAACATCAAGATGGGGTGATGGACAATGTGGGGAAGAGCAATGACTCCGAAAACACGACTGAAATGAGCGACTCAGTCGTGAAACAAATAAGTCCTCTTCGTTTCCCCAAACGTCTATTCGTGCATTGTTACGGAAATCAAAACGTCCCCCGAATTGCTGTAACCACCAGAACTTTCCTTCGCCGAAATTACCGTTGTCAAATGAATCAAAAACCTTCATAAGCACGCTCGCATACGCCTCCGTGGATTGGGTTAGCTCAAGTCCAAAAGCAGGGTTCGTCTTGTGTTGACTATATAAAATCACTAAAAAGTTGTCAATGGGGCACGTGTTAATCAATGTTCTTATACCATACAATGGTATATTTACGGATCCACCCCAAGGAGGTACATTTATAAGGACATTCGCTGTGGGATTTGCGTTTGCAGGGGAAATAGGTGGAAGGGATACGTGACAAGTAGCACTTTGCGTTTGTCTGACTGACGTGGTGTTTTCAGTTTGTGCTGGTTTACTATTCGTGCCTGAAAAACGTTGAGATGATTTCACGGCTGGTGCTCGTTTCGCCTTTGGATGTTCCTGATTATAGTAATGCCTTTTGATCACCTCAATCTTCTTATCTTTGGTGAAACCTTTCACATGTAGGTCACTATCTGTGTAGCCTGCATGTTTAAGGTAAAGATCCAGTTGAGATACATACAGTTTTTGCAACGTGTTTTCTCTAATAAGTTTATCCCAATCAAAATCCAGAAACAATTTTGCTTTTTCAGCTGCCTTTACATCAGCATTTAGCATTCTCGAAACCTCAGATTTCACCCTCATTCCAGTTTTTCTGCGAATTTCTTGCACCACCACACTTTCTAAGTCCGGTCCAGTATATTTAGTGACAAATTCGTCAACCTGTTCTAATGCTTTTCCTAATGTGTTGTTTGTGTCCGTGACTTTAGCCACCACTAAACCATCGTCACTGACACTCTCTTCCACCTTCAGGCTTGGGGTACCACAAGAGGCAAGCAGCTTTTCCAGGTTCTTTCGCGGGTTATAGTCGTCAACCTCGCGCTTACAGTTGACAGACATGTTACCTGTGATTTGGGTAGGTACTGAATAGTGAAATCCATCTTGCCGTTCGTAATCTGGTGCTGGCGGCTGAACGCGTCGAACATGGCTACCACGCCACCCTTGGTTAATCACCAAATGGTTTTCGATATTGCTGTGGAAGTTACAGGATCTACCTTGTACCTTAATGCACCCATCACGGATTCCTTCGAAACCATTGTCGTATAGAATGTAGTGCTCCTCAAAAAAACCAAGGACGAATTTGTAGTACTCTTTCCCAGCGCACTTTTCTAGAACGGCTGCCGAGGAGGCCTGGGCACACTCACTTAGCCATGAAATCTTCGTCAAAGAAGAACTTCCTGTGCACATCGTACCACGGTACTCTTGATTTTATTGTCGTGCCCATACATGGCTTTCCATCGCATCTCCTTTTCACTGCTTCTGCGCAGTCCTTTGATGCGTCAATCTCCCTCTCTTTCTGGAGTTGGTCAAGGATCTCACTCGTCAGTTCTGGTAGATTGGAAGAGTCCAAGTCTTCGTACACCGATTTCTTGTACTTGATTGGGATAGATCTTCCACCCAAACACTCATTCAGAGACCGCATAACCTTCTCTGCTATGTGGCGTGAGGAATCATGTGGTGCATAATGGAACCTGGCTTGCAAGTCCAATGAGTTTATCATGAAATATTCGGCCATTCTCACTTGCGTCATGCGTTCGTGACATG